TGTGTGTGTGTGTGTGTGTGTGTGTTAACACAACTCTTCCTCCTTTCTCTCTACAGTTTCTGCTGTACTGCGAGGGCACCCGCTTTACAGAGAAAAAGCACCAAATCAGTATGCAGGTTGCAGAGAGTAAAGGCCTGCCCATACTCAAATATCACCTATTACCCCGAACCAAAGGATTCACCACCACACTGCAGTGTCTTAAGGGCACAGGTGGCATTCACGCGCAAGTCACACAAAAACTATATTCAGAGCATTTCTTTTATTTTGTATTTTGCTTACAGCCTGCTCTTCTTTCTCTCAACAGTAACTGCTGTGTATGATGTGACTCTGAATTTCAAAGACAACCAGACTCCCACCCTCCTGGGCATTGTCAATGGCAAGAAGTACAAAGCTGATATGTCTGTAAGGTAAGCACCGCTGATGCCCGCCCTCTACTTTTGAACAATCACTTTTTGTAATAAGGCACTGCACTCTCAGCTGTTTCTTCAAGTAAACTAGAATAAATGAGTTTTAAGCATTTTGGCCTCCTCCCAACTGCATTTTGTCCTGTAATAATCAAAGAGGCACTGAGACTGGCTAGACTCCAGGACATTAGCTTTAATGGCCAGGGTGCTCCCCTGAGCTCGGAGCTTGTTATAGACAGACAGATTGGAGCACTAGTGTGATTTTACTTAAATAAAGCTGAAAGCAGGAGGGTGGTGGACACTTTGTTTTTAGTTTCAAGGTCAGGTTGACTGAAGATGGGTAAAAATACTATTTTAGTGACCTGAAATCACTTAGTATGATAATGTTCATGTATCAGAGGGAATTGTGTTTGGGAAGAGGGAGGCACCTGGTGGCAAGAAGCTGCTACTACAGACCAAATGTCTTTGAGTTTTTTTTCTCTCTTTCGTGTGCGTGCGTGCGTGCGTGCTCAGCAGATATGTTTACATTTTTGAATTAACCTGATGGGGTTGTTTAAAAAGTGCCTGAGTGCTGTTTATGTGAATTTATCTCGACAGTGATTATTTTGGTGTGGCTGGCTATGATTGTGGTTTGCTTTTTGTTGTGCTGAATGTGTAGTGGCCTTCAGACACACATTAGCTGCCTGTCATTCCATCAACCAGAATCACGAGCAAAATAATTAACAGGTGGAAAAGGAACAAAACTGGAAAACAAACACATTTTTTGTGCCATTAATAATCTAATGCATCTTTCCAATGAAACCTGATGGACTATAAAGGTCACAGCAATCTACATATTTTTATCTTTAATACTTTTTGCTTTGTCCATTCCTCCGCAAATGCTGCGTAAATTAGCAAGGTCTTTTTGAAGTGGTCGACTCTAGCTGCAGGATGTCGTCTCATTCATAACTTTATTCATTATTTGCCTGTTTCCAAATATTGAGACACTGAAGGTAAACTGTATCTGCTTCCAATGGTTATTTGCTGTTTTACATCCAGGCGGTTTTCTGTGGAGGATATACCAGATGATGAGCAGGAGTGTGCCAACTGGCTACACAAGCTGTACCAGGAGAAGGTAATCTCACGTTAAAGACTCCTAAAATGCCAGATCACTGTTAATTTGGGTTAACAGCTTTGTTGTTTTGGGGATATGGGGGAAGGGGGGGGGGGGGTTAGTACCCAGTGTCATGGAAATTTTCCTTCCACCTCCCATTGTTGCTGAAAGAATTCACTGACAAGTTTTTGGGTTTTTTGGGGTTTTTTTCCCTCTAATTTGATATCAAGCCCAATCTATTTTCCCTCCCAAACATTAACAACTCTTGAACTTGTTAACGTCATTAAGCTACAGGAGGTACACTCAGACACCATGACCTGTGAATACTGAGCAGGTGACAAATTAAAGGATAAACTAAAGTATCTTAATTAGGTGTTGGGTCATGAGAATTCATCTCAGACTAAAGTGTGGTAAATTCCTTCCTTCCAAGAGACGTTACCTCAGTAGGTGTTTTGAAGATCGTGGTGGAAAACCGCTCTATTACTTTGTATGTCAAAAACACAGTTTGTGACTCTGAAGGCCACATAACTGAAGCCATGTTTACACTCAAAACCATTCATTATCCCATAATTTTGCCTGTTGATAGTATTGCTATCCTGAAAAAGACGTTTCTTATGCAGGATGTGAAAATAAAGGTGGTGACGATCCTTAGAACTATGTACCATATCAACACACTGCCCCCCACAGCATGACTAGGGTCCATTTGTTTTTGTTTTTTTCTCCTAGAATTCATTTATCTTTATCTTTATTTTATTCTTAATCAGATGTCAAATTTCTCAGCAAATCCTGTCGTTTCAAATCAAATTAAGCACAAAGGTAACCACTATCTTTCCCAACTCCCAGGATGCTTTACAGGAAATGTACAATAAGGAAGGCAAGTTCCCGGGACCCACAATTATCCCACCGCGCAGGCTGTGGACGCTGCTCAACTTCCTGTTTTGGGCAACACTGCTGCTTTCACCACTCATCAATTTTGCCTGCGGAGTGGTCGTCAGTGGCTCCCCTCTCCTCATTATTGGCTTTATACTCTTCCTCATCGTAGGTAGGTCAAACCTTACCTTTTAGACAGTTTGGTGCTCATGTCCTGTTAGTGTTTTGCACTTTTCAAGGTTCTTTTTTGGCACTAATTGTACTTGCAAAAAGAGTAAAGTCTGAGTTCTTTAGCTCCTGTGGTTTTGGGTATTTGACTGTTTTGAAGTTGGTCAGTCATGGATGTATAATTCAACCAGTCACTTGCCCAGAATGAAAACTGATGTAGCTTGTTTCATTTGAAGCTCGTGAGGTTTTCTTCCTGACCTGTTGTGTTTTCTCTCTCCCCCCCCTTCTCCTTTGTTCTCTCTACAGCCTCTATAGCGATCCGCCGCCTCATAGGGGTCACTGAGGTGAAGAAAACAGGTTCCAGTTACGGCAACCAAGAGGCCAAGAAACAAAACTAAAGTGTCACTCCCTCCTGTGAATGGCCGTTTCTGTTGGCCACCCTGCGGCGTCTCACCCCATCCCAACTCCATTCTCCTCCTACTGTCGAGTCAGTTGGTAGGCTGGGGAGGAGTCCCAGCTGTGAAAACATTATAGAAGCCAGACCTAACATTTCTAGTGGCACTAGGGTGAGGGAGTATAGAGGGTCTGGGGTCCAAGTTCTCTGGTGTATCACAGATTATAACGAGGGGGAGATGCAGCACTGTATTCTCCTGCATCTTTCTAAATCCAGTTAGCCACCACCTCCCCCTCAATCCAGATCCCATTAAATCTCAGTAACACCCAACATTAAGCTTCTAACATGTCTGAGCTCACATGAACTACCACTTCCTACCTCGTTTTCCTGTCACAGTCATCAGCCAATGGGTAGTGGGTGACGCGCTGTTTCTTTTTTGTCCACAGAACACGAGTCGATACATATTTCTAATCTCTAACCTCCATCCCAGCGGAGGCGCATTTCCACAACAGCAGTGTTTAACATACAGGACGTCTCCCTCCCTTTTCTCACTGAGTGGGACTTGTAATGGGAATCGGTGCCTTGAGGCCCAGCCTGGTTTTCCTTAACAGGGTCAACTTCACCCAAAATCATGCAGAATTGACCAGTTTTAGCTGTATATAGCCAGCCACATACTTAAGGTTCTTATATGCCTTTGAGCACAACTATACCAGTACAGTGAAGGTGAAAAAGTTGTTTTTTTTCCCCCTCTTGTAATTTGTAATTATTTTGACACAAACAATGCGATACAGTTCACCTTGATTGTACTGGGATAGCAACAGACGTGCGTGGGCGGAGAATCAAAATTCCACATCATTTTTAGTGGTGTACATGTGGTAAGATCACTGTTCCATCTTACTGCTGTGATTATGATGTTCTGACCCCTTTTACATCCTGGTTTGGAAAGGCTGGTGTCAAACTTACATCAAGGGCTCTGAATGTGAAAACCGTCCTTATCAAGGATACCTACCATCTGTTACAGGTCTCATTTGTACTCCTCAGAACCCAAACCCACAGACACTTTTCAGTTTTTGTTTTCTGTCTTTTTACATTTACTAGCTTGCATACATGTTCTCATTCATTTTCAATTGACCTCCTAAATGTGATGTTAATTGAACCAAACACTGGAAAGGTTCAACATGCCACCCACGCCGATTACCAGTCATGACTCACCTGTCAGTGGAGCCAGAATCCAGGAAAAGGTCACCAACATGTAGCCACACATCTGAAAGCATATTGATTTGCTCTCCTGATATTTAGACTGTAGTATTGATATTTTAACCTTTGCCTTAAGTCAGGCTTGCTCAGGCAAGGGATTGCTTATCCGCCACCCCTTTAAAACAAGCACCAACATCTCACTTGCGTCTCCACCCTCTCTCCCTCCCTCCATTACAGTGATGCATGGTGGAGCAGCATGCATTTGTTTGGTTTGATCCCCCAAACTGAGTAAACAACTTACAGTCCAGTTTTCGTTTTTTTTTTTTTTTAAAGGCATCCTTTGTACATCAGTTAAAGACAGCTGCTTAAGCACATACAGTTCTGGATTTTAGCATCCCAAACATGACTGCTTGTAGTTATATCTCAGATTATCTTTTGGCTGCTACAGTACAATACAGTTTTTGAGCCATGTTTCGAGGTCCAACATAAAAGCTAATGGTAGAAAAAGATGGGGAGGGGGTATTTTTATGTTGTGTGCTCTCCTTACCTTCCCGTGCCACATGTAGTGTTAATCCTACTTTTTTTTTTTTTTTTTTTATAATCATAATGTCTCAGCAGCTAAATGTCCTATACCTCCCTTTTTCTTTAGTTAACTACAGATTTCATGCAAGCCTTAATTAGTGCTGCTTATGTTTTTGTGTGAAAACATAGACGCTAACCGCTGTGGTAGTGAAGGACTGAAAGTTTTTGTTTAAGTACATAAACATATGTACTAGTAGAGCTGGGAGGTTGGCATGGATGTAGTCAGCTCTTGTGAGGAAACCTGTTTTTAATTAATCCACATTTGTACACAGAGATACTTTGAGATTACTTTAAATATTTGTAAAAGCTTTAGGATCCTCACTTGTCTCTTCTATTTTCCATCAAATCAAAACCAACAACCGGATAGAAATTCAGCCCATCAAATCCTCTTATTTAGTATGAATCAGTTTCTTAAGCAGAAGACGCTGCTGAGAAGTGCAAACCAGTATTTGCAAAAACATTTAACACTGGATGCTTTTTTTTTTTATTATTCAGTAAAGAAATATTACAAATGTCTTTTCTTCCCTCCCCATTTTCTTAATTCCTAAACGCGATCAAATGTGACATTAAAATTTACAACACTAGATTAGCTGCACGATTTTCTGAAATCTCAAACATAATCCAGTTAGTGGAACCTCTCGCCTCAGCTTTTGTTTTGTTTTCTACAGCTGTTTTTATGTTTTCTTCAATTTTAAACACTTGAGAATATTAAAGAATTTGATCACAAAGCAACTCCTCCTCCTTTGACTTATTTGGATTTGTGTGAGTTTCTCTGTGCATGCAGCACTTCAGGTGAAAGGAACTCAGTTTTGACACCATAGACGACGGGAGGGGTCCACTAGAGTCAACACAGGGATCTGATTTAACCATTTCCACCTTCCATCACTTCTCCATAAGAACTTTCACACAGGCATCCATCCACCGTAATTCATCATAACACATCCACAATTTTCATTTGACATGCAGTATTAAGTCACAAGTGTGACATAATGTGAGGACTGTGTAAACTGAACATATGTATATAACACAAATGATGAATGTCATGCTCACCTTTAGATATTGTAGAGATGTATTTAGCTGCTCTTTAGACCTTTTGAATGACACATTAACAATCGGATGTCCAAGGTGTGACGGGATATCAAGTCTATAAATATGTACATAATGTAAATGATGACTATGAGATGCTCAGCTTTAGAAAAGGTATAGATGCACCACAAGTTTATCTTACTAAACTGTGAAGAAAATGCTACAGCAGATGAAGATTTAAACCCAGCTGTCCTGGGTGCAGTTTACAAAATTATCTGCAAAGGTCACACTCAACACTCTGGAGCTGTAAATAGCATCAGCGATGCCTCACTTCTAATTAAACCACAGATGGAACGCTGTACTCACAGTGGATGCTTACAAAGCATTTTTCACAATTTGTAATTAATCATTGTTTCTTACTGTAGTCGGTTACTTTTTGCATGATGTACGATATTGCACAGTCACTGAATCGAGTTAATTCTGACTCAGGGACTCTTACAGACTGGCAATACAGCAGCTGTGGCATTAACTCTGCATCGGAATAATTAATAAAAATGGGTTTCTGAGGAAGCAAAGTTGAAAAAGTGTCATTTTTGCTTTTGTTAAAAGTTGTCTTGTTTTATCAAAAGCCCCTAAAACATTTCGAAGACAACTCGGAGAAGGCAAGACTAATAAATTGTTTTTACAATTTTACAAATCTGATAAAAAAAAATGTTTGACACCAGCAGCAACATGAAAATGCATGTTAACATGAATGACATGTTGTGCTCTGTGCTGGTAGAGAACAAACAGTCAGGAGCTTAGGATTGTCCTCTTAGGAAATGATTGAACACCATCCTTGGCCGAAAGATGGTTGACACCAGCAGAGATGTGAAGATGTGACAAACTAGTCTTGGTAACGGACTTGGTAAAGTGGTTGTGGTCAGTACCCCTGAAAGATGGGTTCACTATTCTGTTCAAGACTCCAGGCCGGTAAATATGAAAACAGCAGGCTGCGTGACCATGTGCCCACCAGGACCTCATGGTTATTTATTTATATATTTATTTTTGCCTGTCCCGTTTGGCTCTTTTGCCATCAGAATTGTTGTCTAAAGGCAAAGAAAGATGCCCAACGGATTTACTTTACCAAATTGACCATCCCAGCCTTGCCGTAATGGTCCATTTGATTCACCTTTTATTGTTTATTTTATTTTCACTTGCTGAATACGGGACAGACTTGACTGGGGGAAAGAAGGGGAGAAAGAAAGAGGGAAAGAGAAACAGCTGAGAAGAGGGACGGGGGAGAAGGGCAAAAAACAAAAACCAACAGAATGGGCAGAAAAAAGAAAAAAAAATGCATATATCGATCACCTGGATCACCTGCTGAGAAAGAAAAAAGAAAACAAGCAGAAGAGAACAAGAGTAATAGAATAAACAACATCACAATGATATATGGGAATATGACAGTAAATACTAAATATTAAACATTATTGTGCAGCACATAAGATCAACAGAACACAGTGTGCTTTGAGGTAGGAGCCAAAAAGGGTGTAGTTTGTGGGTGTGATCACCCGTGTGTACACCTGTGAGCATGGACGCGCTTGTTTTTTTTAAAAGGTTCCTTCATGTAATGATCTGCTAGAGGGTGTGGGGGGGCCACAGCCCCGTCCTCCAGGGCATGAAGCAGGTATGGAGGAGATCAAAACTCCAGACATCCAGAGGCCCCCAGAACACAAGAGACCAAGGAAGACCAACAGAGGGGCAGCCGCGCCACTGTCCCAGAAAGAGCTGAGGAGAGTCCCAGATGAGGGCTCACTCAGCAGCCGCGGAGCAGAAGCCAGGGGGAGTTGCAGTGACGCGCCCGTGAGCTCCGCCGGCAGCCAGCCGTGCCTGAGTGACCGAGCCCCAGGCCGAGAGGCCGGGGGCACCCCACCTCCGAAGTGGCCCGAGTGAGCCGGTGTGTACCTGGACGCCCATCCCCGGACACAAAGAACCACCAACGCACCGATGTCTGAGGGAGTCCGCCACTGGCAGGGGAAGTGGTGGGGGGGAGATAGGCCTCCAACCTTGGAGGGCCTGAGATGTCCCCAGAGAGGTGGCGTCTGATACCCAACCTGACATATAGACACAGACATACAGGCACACACAGACACAAACATCCATTCCCACCCTCATGCTCTCATATGCACTTACTCCACACTCAACCAACGTGGAGACAGACATAAAGAGACGCTGTACACACGATCACACTCCCCAAGCGTACTCTACGAACCGGGTCTAGGTACCCTTGCCCCTGGAGGGGGAACTGCACCCAGACCCAGGTGGTGTTACCCTTTTCCCTGTGGTGGGGAGAGGCAGCAGGGAGGCTCCACACTCCAGACCGCAGTCGGACGGCCAACTCCTCCTCCTAGCCTAGGACCTCCTAGGACCTCATGGTTATACCGATCAGCCCACATAGAGGTCGGGAATGGAAGTAGAGGGACCTCTGGAGGAATTAAATGACACCCTGTGGAGGAAAACAATACTGTGGATATTGTGCAATATTGTGGAGAGGGTGATTTTAAGCCGAATGAATGTGCAAATGGTCAAAAGAACCCTCACATTTCTACTGGGTACCTGCCATTTTCTTTTAACCCCCTAGAGATTATAATTGAACTTTCCTCCACCCACAGGACAGACCAAAACAAAATATGAAAATCATTCCAAATGTGGGAAAAAAGGAAAAAATAAGAAGGATTAAAATTAGAACACCCCCAAGGACCATAACTGCCATTGTCACCAGCTGACAAGAGAATCATAATGAAATCAGTGTAAAGGAAATAATTTGCAATCATTAGCACTCTGCACTACACATGTCTACATTTGCATGCACTAATCTAATCACACTAATCAACTACCTACCTCAATATTACAAATACGACTGTTTTTATTATTTAACCTGTCACTTTTAAAGATAAACCCTTTAAATAACTTTGTAGGTCCTCTCAGATCAACTCATTTATTGATGCGTCAAGCATCTCAGTCAGATTCAGGTCAGGACTTAAAGTAGGTCACTCGAATTTCTTCATTTAGTTTATCTTAAGCCATTCGGAGGTAAACTTGCTGGTGTGTTTTGGATTATTGTCTTGCTGCAGAACCCAACTGTGTTCCGCTTGAGGTCACAAACAGATGGCCAGACATTCTCCTTCAGAATATTTTGGTAGACATCAGAATTTATTGTTCAGTTTACCTTCATTTAGGTCCTGAGGCAGCAAAACAGCCCCAGACCATCACACTACCACCACCACCATATTTTGATGATGGTCTTTCTGAAATGCTGTGTGACGTTTACACTGAATGTTATCAGACACGCACACTCCAAAAAGTTCAGCTTCTGTCCCATCAGTCCACAGAGTTATTTTTCTAAAAGTCTTGGGGATCATCATGATGTTTTCTGGCAAAACTGAGACAAGCCTTCATTTTCCTTTTGCTCAGCAGTGGTTTTCATCTTGGAACACATTTTTGGCCAAACTCTTTCTTACTGACATTAACTGAAGCAAGTGAGGCCTGCAGTTCTTTGGATGTTGTTCTTGGGTCTTTTGCGGTCTTCGCTGCATCCTCGGGGTAATTTTCGTCAACTGGGCACTCCTTGAAAGGTTTTCGTCATTTGTGGACATTTTCGGCTTCTGGCAAAAGAGAATCCAGTTACATGGATAAATATAAACAGCAAAGAGAAGGAAAACTTCCACTAATAGCCAGTCACGTAT